ATTATAGTTTTCGAGGTAACTATTATATATACATTTCCGTTTCATGTTTTAATTTCCAAAAATATTTTCATTTTTCTACTATTTGTATGCATTTTACAATTATTTTCTCGAAACAACTCATCTCATTAAATTTTTTGTGTATATATACGAGTATCTGTTATGCATTCAAACAATTTGTTAATGATAATTTATTTGTTATTATTCTGGTTTACATTTTTGTTTTTTGTTAATAACAATATTTTGTTTAAATTCAATTCCAGAAGCTGTTTAATATACCTTGCGCGAAAATGTATAAATATTTAAATTGCTTATTTAATTAATTTTTTTTCAAATGAATATTGAAATGAAAATCATATCTTACTTAGTCAAAAATATTGATAAAATAATAATTTTATTAGTTCTATATGGTAATGCAATAAATAATATTGATAAAATAATTAATTGTTTATTTTTTTATTAAGAAAATTCAAGCAAATTTCATACATAAAATGTGTACGAGTATTATAGGTCTGTTCTTCCCAAACAAAGACAAAGAGAACAAAGATTTTTTACCTAGTTTATAAACAAAAAAAAAATAATAATAATAATAATACTTGTAAATTTCTTTAATTATGTTACTTTTATATATGAATTTAAAATTATTTACATATAATTTATTATTATTATTTCATCTAAATTAGTGAATTATGGTCTGTAGTTTTTTTATTTGCTTTAAAAATTTATCCTTGACTAACATGTCGTTAATTAAAATAAATACTATATTTATTTTAAGCATATAAACAATATATATTCTCTCATTATTTAACAAAAAAACGACGTTTTTTAATATTGCTCATGTTTTATCTTAAGTTTTCTATAAAAATGTTTCTTCTTATTTGTCCTTTAATTTTTTCTTTTCTTGACTACTGGTATTTTTACTTTAAGCTTTTTTGAACTGCTGCGCTACTATGACTATAAGTAAATAATAAGTTCCAATCAAACAAAATGTATTATTTTTAATATAATTTTAAATAGTATATAAAACCAATCTCAAAAACATTTTAATTCAGTTCAGCTTATGTAAATAGTGATTGATATTATTTGAACTTGAAATCATTTTCAAAATTTGACTTAATTACATATTCAATAATATTGCGGATTTCGTGCGATATTTGAGGTTATTTGAAATATAAATATAATAAATTAATATTAAAAAAAAATATAGTAAACAAATATAAAAACTCAATTAAATTTGTGTGATGCTTTTGGCATGTATTTTCAACCTTTATAAAACATAACATATTTGCATACTTTGACATTTGAAATTCGTAAATGTAATATAATTTACTATTTAAATATTTATAAAACCAACAATGGGTTTTTGGCATTACTTAAAACAGTTAAAATTAAAATTTATGTTTCAGTATTATTCAAAAATATTTCTATTAAAAAAATTATTTCTATTAAAAAATAATTTCTATCATGCAGTTTTATTTTATCATCCAAAAATTTCTAACAGTTTTTACTTCATAGTTGACCCTAAAAATCAAATTTGATACAAATTATTTTATTAATTGTATTAATAGTATCATACTCAATAAAAATTTAATATAATAATTATTATTTTAATAAATAATTGTAATTAAACATTTTATATTCTATGACAAGAAATCTATTTTGAATCTGCTTCAGATTCCTCCAAATATCTGTCATAAGGGGTTTTTGATTTAATTTTCTGTATCAAATATTGAACTCTGTCAAATTTAATTGCGTTCTCTAATTTTTAGAATAAATTATTTCTATACTTTATTATAGAGCACACGCAAAATTATTTAAATATTATTTAGAATAAACTATACTTGTTTGTATTAGTATGCTATTATAAATAAGTTGCTATGTAAAATTTAATTTACTAAATGTAGCAATGGGCCAAGTGGCTTCCATTTTTAAAGTAGAGGTGCACGCCCTAGAGCTATCCGTATATTAAAATATGCTAAAATATGCATCCTCTCAGACAGTCAAGTAGATCTGAAATCACGTATGACATTCACATTCCAATCGAAGTTGGTTTGGGTATGTTTCAATCTACTCAACATCTTAGAGACGTGAAGTTCTTTGACTATGCTATAGATATCGAGATATGAGGGCCATGAAGGCAATGAAAGTGTGAATGCCCTGACTTAAAACGAAGCAAAAACACCTTTTGTAGGCCCAGAACTCTTCTATGATGTCAACAACAGCTTCAAAACCAGCCTAGTAAGCGAAAGGGAAAAACAAAAATTACTGACTTCTGGAAAGCCCTAAAAGACACGTGGCAGTAAAATGGCTTTTTATCTCTGAACATATAAAGGCTGAAGCTGTTCTAAACTAAAGCAGAACAGATATCAGACTCTACACGAAACTGCTAACAGGCCACTGTAGACTGCTATAACATTTGAAAAAGACGTTGACTTAACTATGTAGGCAGTGGACTTTTGAACCGTAAACACCTAGTTAAAATACGACCCACAATTGTTCAAAAGTTTGCAATTGGACAAGTTGGGCGAAAGGCTGCACAAAAGATCTTTCAGGTCGCAGTGCATACATAGCCTATCCATAATAATAAATAATTTACTAATTGTCGATTAATAGTTTAAAAATAAATCAAATAAAAAAATCAATCACAATAAAAAAATCATATATAAGCATTAAAATAAGTTATAATTTGTGTAATAGTTTGTTAATCTGAAAATATTTTTTTTTACTATTAAAAACGTAGTTTCAATATTATATGAAAAATATAAATTTTATGGCATTAATTAATTTCAACATTATATAAAGATTTTTTTAATATTTGTACTCTTTATTTATATAAATAAAATAATAATTAACATATTTATAAAAATAAAAGTTAAAGAAATTATTATTCTGTTGCGTGAAATAGATTTTGGCATTGGAAAAATTAAAAAATAGTAATTAAATAAATTAAGCTATAATAAATTTTTAAGAAAGTGAAAATCAATTACGGGTTTGCCAATTTGTTATCGTGATACTTAAATTAAACCGCAGTAATAAAACACATTTTGCATTTTTAAAATAAATTTAAAAAAAACTTTAATAAATAGTCTTTTACAATAGCTTTTTCTATTATATATTATTTTTTGCTTTATTAACAGTAAGACTGTTAGTGGAATAAATAATCATATAAAAAAAATAATTTGAAGTAAGGCTCTCTGTGGTATTTGTTTTTCATAAAGTAAGTCTTTTTTATGAACTAATTGTGATAGTTACAGCATTTTTATATAAGTTTTAAAAAAATCACAGACATCATAACATCAATTTTACAATTGCCCACAGACAAATTGTCAGACAAGAGATACTTTAGATTTTTATGGAACAAAAATTACTTGATTTCCTTGCCTGGCAAAAATGACATAATACGTATTTCACTAGAACTTCGTGTTTCCATGAGAACAGACTGAGGCTTTTTTTTTTGTGTCTCGACACCCTTCTTCTATTTTTGTTAGCATATATAGAGATTTACGATATTTATAAACACTCTTGCTTTTTTATTTATATAGTAAAATATCGTTAATGATTTGATATGCTCAAGATGTGCTGTTGATACTGTCATTTCTAAACGTGCTTTAAATATTGTTCGCAAAATCAAAACAAAACAATTATTAAACTTTTAAGTGATTCATATATTGTCAGTTGATTTAATTTTATTTTTTTAACTTTATTTTTAATTAATATTTGTTTTGTTTGCTGCTCAGCATAAATTATATGGACTATAAAAAAACTGAAATAAATTTAAGTTTATGACTGGCCCGTCGTAAAGTATTCGCGCTAAAACTAATTCTTTATATTATTGTGATAAAATTTATGTGAGTAAATAAAATAACAGCTAAATATTTATATTATTAAAAACTTAAGATAAAAATGCTTCGTTAAAGCTATATAAATATTTAAGAATCAAAATTTTATATTAAGAAGTAAATAAAATTGTGAGCGGCTATATTAAAATCATTCCGTAATACAAGTAAGATACTCCCAATAAGAACACGACCTTAACACTAAAGGTTAGATTAATCTGAAAGCCATACATTAAACTATTTTTATTTAGCGATACCAGATAGAGTTTAAATCTGAGGTAGTGCTTGAAACTTTATACTTGAAACAAAGTTATCAAATATTATTTTATATTTGAAATATATATCTTTAGACTAGACCTTACTTTGATTAGAACCCAGACGCTGTATTCTGTTCATTCTTTTAAAAATAATTAAAAATGTGTTTTTTAACCAGACCTTAGTGGAATTTGATCCCAGATCCTGTGTGCCGCAGTTTAAGTATACACCCATCGTACATGTGGGCGACCATTTTAGAACGATTTATAGTTAATCTTTAAATTACCAAATACTAAAACCTGCAACTACAAAAAAAATCAAATTTCTACAAGTCCTAGTTTTAACTTACTAATACCAGTGGCGTAACTAAGTAGTGGTTACGCGGAATATATCCTTATTTAAGGTAGTAACATATACCAATTTCTCTTGAAAGATAAATGAATATACGTCAAGTATGCCAAAATTGGAAGCTATTCCTATGTGTACAATTACAAAGATTAGATATTTAGAAGTTTCTTTTTTGATAATTCTGATATCTTCGATATCTTAGTGAAGACAGCTCGTTGAGCAAATGACCCTATATGGGCATATAGCGTAGTTACAATATATTGGGCTTTCAATTTGAAAATATGAATCATAATAATACATACTATATATATGTATATGATAAATGTAATATAAAAAGTTTATATTTATATTTTTATTTGTTTTTAAGTTTATGATATACATCCGATTATTTTTCTGGGAAAAAGTCTTTATTGTTTTAATTGAATAAGTACCATATTAATTTATTTCAAGTGTGTGCAAAATTTACTTTAAATGTTTGCTCTTTTTGCAACAAAAAATATTTTTTAAATAAAATATTTCAAATTATTCATATAATTGTAATCATTTCCATTTTTCTATTTACAGAAAGTGTTAAATCTATACTGGGCCGTCATACAAAAATTCTAGTAAAGTATATGGTTAAATTGGAAACAAAAGGAGACAAAACTGAAAATCGAGTTTTGGTAAGTAATTATAAAAGATGATTTCGATTATTTGTATAATAACTAACCTTTTAATTATATATATTCATAAAATGAAGTAATTTCTTATCACTTAACAAAATAAAAAAACTTCGTATACTTCAAAATTTCATATTCTTGATTCTCTCTCTTGATTCTTCTTCTTGAGTTAGTGTTATTACGCACTTTTACTCTATAATGGCTAGGGGGCTTACCTCTACCCCACACTAGGCTTTAACTAGGCTAAGAAATCATATCATTTATTTGTCTTTTAGTTGATGACGGACCTTAAATCAGCATCTCTTCCTGAGAGTCCAGAAGTGGACTTCAGGATTATTAGGGCGGGGTTAAGTAGCGTATCAACTTTAGTGAATAATTTTAGAGCTCTGTCTCTGATATATTTTTTCACTGATCAATCCTAAGATCTCTATGTATGTTTGTTGATCTAATATACCCTGGAATCTTGAACAGTCTTCTTAAAGCCAGGTTTTGTGCTAACTGTAATTGCCTTAAGGTAGTATTTGAGGCTTTGCTATATGTAACACATCCGTACAGTAGTGCTGGTCTAATTACTTGCTAATTACTAATTACTATAAAGTAACTTTCTGTTTTTAAAGTTGAAGTGATAATTATTAAATACTAAAGTAAAATATTGAAAATATTCTCAGTACAAAGTAGATTTCCTTATGCATATTTTTATGTTTCAATGAAATACACTTAAAAAAACACTAAAAATTAAGTTGTTTTACTTTAATAACGAAAAGGTGCATTCCATGTAAGGTTAAGCGCTAACAGCTAAAGTTTGAGGTTCGAATTCAATCTTGGGTAAAGTTATTATATATTATATAGGTATATTGTTTTAATTTATTTTTACATTTTTTAATTATTAAATTAAACAAAAAAATGGAGTATTTATTTTAATTTTTTAATTGATGCAATTAAATTAAAAAATAATAACTAATAATTATTTTACTGCTAACTTTGATATATATTTATACTTTCAAAACAAACCAACCGTTAAACAAAACGTTTACGTATTCGTAATAATAGTATTAACTTCGTGATTCATATTAAAATTAGCAAAAACTATATACTAATTATACCTTTCCATTATATTTAAACATCTACTCAGAACTTAACTTAGTTTGAATTTCAACATAAATATAAACAACTATCAAATTGTTAAATAATTGTACTAAAAAAAAAAAAATAGCCAGCCCAAGTGACAGTAAAGTGCACTAAAAGCAAGCAAAAATATTTTACAAAAAAATAGAAAAACATTATAAAATTATTTTTAACGTTAAAAGAGTGATATGATGACTTTGGAAACTGTATTCTATATTGTAACGCATTCATGCAATTGATTATTAGGTACATTGTTTTTTATAAAAAAATTTTTTAATTAATTTAGTTAATCATCACTTTTTAAAAATCGCAATTAGTTCTTTAATAATTTTTAGTTTAATAGAATTTTAAAGAATTCTGGAAGATATTTATGTACAGCTTATAATAAATATAAATTAAGGTAATATAATAAACAGATGTCTGAATTATTGGTTCCGCCCTTCAAATGGAAGCCAGAAATCAACTGCAAGGCATATTCCGACATCAAATGGAAATAGAATCTCATCTGCATCCAAGCGCTACCGTAGTTGTATGAGCTTACCACCATTTTAGTCAAGCAGTTACCTGGAGTATCGTTTGTTCCAGTTACAAGCCACTTTTCGATCACAGACTTTTTTATTACACAAAAAGGCTCTGGTATAAGGAATTGTATGGCTGCAAATTGGATAATATCTATAAATATTATTAACTAGTTTTTTCATAATAACTAAACTGTATTAAAGATTAATACACCAATATAAATTATTACACCAATTATTGACATCAAAACGCCAATATTTTTAAAGTGTTTCTGTAGATATTTTTATGCTCTACAAAGTTTATAATCAATGGACGCAAAAACAACGACATCATGTTTTCTGAAAACCGATTTTCATGATTTTGACCTTGAATATATTTACTTGCATATATTTCGATCAACATCAGAAGAAGGATTTTGAGCAGTCTGACTTAAAATGTTAATTTCAATGTATATTTTTTACGATTATTTATTCAAATTTCCAGATATTTGAAATTAATAATTTTAAAAACTACTCTTAAATAATTAGAGTATAATTAAATAGTAATAAAGAGTAAATAATATAATTAATAAATAAATTATTAAATTAATAATAAAATTGTTAAATAATTAATAATTAATTAAATTGAATGAAACAAAATAATCCTTAGTTTTAATACAATAGTTTAATGAATGTTATTGATCGTTCTCAAATGAGATGGCCTCATGTGAATTTTCATGTTCCCGAGGAAGATTATATTTTGTAATTATTTAAAAAAATTCTCAGAAAGAGAAATGAAGCCATAACTCAAGCTACAGTAAAATATGATTTATTAAATAAAGTTTTGGCTTAATTATATTATACTCGATAGGACTTGTTTTAAACATAGCAAAATAAATTAATTATTGTTATTTTTCATCAGTTTGTTATGAACCTTTGTCTATGGTTCGTTTAAAGCTGGGGTTTACTCAGCCGTTGCCAAGGTCCTTACAATAAAATTTGTTTGATGACAACCTGTCACTTACGACAATCGAACTAATCAGAACTGAACATCAATATGTCCGATATGATATAACACAGACAGAGGTAATTGTTAAAGCTACGAGTGTTGTATTACATGTCACTGTCAACACGCCCTTTTCTGTTCAGTGCTACAGCGTTCAGGGGTCAGAGACGTTAAGTCGAAGCTTACATTTAATATTTTATATTTAATTAATTAATTGTTAATATTTATTTAGGCTTTTTCTTGCGTTACAAACAAAAATAAATATTTTTTTAATTTAACATTTACGCAATGTTTCGTTGATTTTTGCCCCTTTAGGGGTATCTGAAATTTTGATTATATATAATATTTAAAATTAACACAATAAAAATCTTTTTATAAAATTATTAAAAATAATAAACAGAATAAATTTAGATTTATTATTAATTTGGTTGGTTGGTTGCAGTGGCAGGCCATTAGATAACTTCCATGTACCTCAATTGGCGATTTTTCGCCATTTTGCTACCACATTCCTCGCAAGAACTCTAGTATAGAAGAGTAGAGACTAAATCCATCCCGCCGAATTTAGGTAATTTAACAGGTCTTTCATTTTCACCGTTGAGCAGTCTGATAGACTATCAAAGAAGTATTTTCCTAAGAACCTATATCTTTTGGACGCTAAAGCCGGGCATTCACAGAGAAAATGTATTATTGAAAATGTGTGAGTTCCTACACACCAATGACCAGTAAGAACTGCAGTAAGCCTTGGAGTGTTCACGCGATCTCTTTTAATAGGATTTATTTTTATTATAGGTGGGCCATGTTAGCCTGGAAGTTGCACATGACTTAAGTGCTTTCCATCTGTTATTGGCAAGTTACAGAAAGTAAAGGAAGGTACTTCTTTTGATGGTTTTCAGGGTAATATAAACTGGTACCGCCAGTGACGCATCTAGGAAGACACCAGAGCGGGCTCAGCTTTCTCGTTCCCTACGATGTTCCTATGTCCAGGAACCCAGATGAGTGTGATATCAGCCAACCGATTTAGCTCGTCGATTGCTTCTCCACATTCCTTTACTATTTTTGGGTTTATTATAAAAGATTCAAGGGCTTTAATTGCTGCCTGGCTGTCAATGAAAATAGCAACACTACATCTGTCCTCGATGTGACTTGCAATTTGTTGACAGGCTTCTCTAATTGCTAGGATTTCAGCCTGAAAAACAGTAGCCTCATTAGGTAGACTAAGTGGCCTAAGTGAAGTTTTCAGATGGTACGAAGATTTCTGCTCCTGCCCCACACCTCATTTTCGTGCCATCTGTATATATTGAGATATCGTAGTTTGCTTCGAAATTTTTCCTTTTCCATTCATTTCTATTATTATTTTACTTTTTATTGAATTATACTAGATAATTTATACACTAAATGCATATGATTTTTGGAGTTTAGTCTTTTATTTAGAAGATGTAAAAAAAATCTATTTTAAACTTACACCGGTTAACTGAAAAACAAATGCTTTAATTACACTTAAGGTAACACATTTATTGGCATATTCTCATTTCCATATCTATCCATATCATAGATAGCTACTTCAAAAAGCATTGAAGTGTATAAGTATCGTATTTTATTCACATTCTGTCTTTGTACTCATTAATTGACTATGTAAAAGTAGTGGAAATTTAACTCTACAGTTTTTTGACATAGTTACTCCGGTGTTCGACACATTCTATCTTGCCTGATCATTATTGGTCATAATACTGATTTTTTTCCATTCAGCTAATTTATGTTGAAAGTTGCAATATTAATTTTTATGATGCTGTAATTAAACATTTGAAAATGTTTTAGCTACTTTTACTGTTAAAATTCAAACACTTTGTAAACAATATAATGAACATATCTGTATAACATGCAACTAAGTTGTTAATATTAATTATATATATTAAAATGTAAATTTAAACTTTGAAATTGCCTTAAACTTGTCTGGTACAAATTTAATTAAAATAAATTTAATAGAAAAGAAATTGTTGAAAATCAAAATTTAAAATAAAATAATCTACAGTTTATATTTTAGTTATTTGATATTATATTGCATATTAAATTTCAGATGAACAGATCTGTAAATATTAGCACCTTACACCATTAGATACGTTCCGTACGTATTAATTATAAAATGCACTAAGCTCTGTTTAAGATACAAATTATACGTTTGAGAAGCTATTTGTAAAAATCATGTATGTTAGATATAGATTAACATACTTATTTACAAAATAAAACTTTACATAATTTTTATTGTGGTTAATTATTAAGACTAATGCATGTTGAGGCGTTCAAAACATAACCACCATGCCACCGGTGTACTCTGAATTCATGCCAAACCAACGCCGGAGACTATGGCCCAACACAGG